CAATAAGGCCTTCATAGAGTCATAACTGTACCTGCAGGTATAACACCTGAGCTGCTCTCCATAGATATCCATATATGACCGGAAATGAAATGAAATGCAGAAACACTGCCAACATTGAAAGTGCTGAGTCATCGTGAGTGTCAGGAGTCTCTAGACCAAACCAACACGCTCCAGAAGAGTTTCTCACTGCAGCACAGGTGACTAAAAACACCTAAATGGTCTTTGTGGTCACTTATTAGCCTTGTTTCATGTAGAGAAAGGAGTCATTCATGATAGATCAATAGATGATAGACAACCTCACACCCTCGACTCTCCGCTCCTCTGAGGATTGTTCGTTGACAGAACCCACAGCGGGTTCTCCTCCACCGAGCTACCAGAACAGGAACATCTCCAGACAGCATCTCCTACCTGCTTCCAGCACCGCGTCACCTCTGACTGGTGAGGGCTATCTTCAGCCGTGATGACGACGGCGTTGATTTGGATAAAAGTTACTGCCAAACACCAAAACGAACCCAAACATGAGCTTTAAAATCACGCCACGAGCTCTCTGCTGACCACACGCCCTCCCAGTCGCCTACTGTACGATGATGTCACCACGCACCCGCTCCATAAGTCAAACATCAAAGCAGATTGTTCTGCTGCAGAGGCCGAAGGTCAGCTGTGATGATGGATTAGAATAAACTCAGCTGAAGAACATCTGGAGCATGGCTGCCACAGCGAAGCCCATAATTAGAGAAAACCTAACAGACGCTTTTCCTCCTGCTGCTTCATCGGTAACGATAACTCGTCGACGACGGGATTCTTCTTGGAGAAAGTGAGTTTCTGATTAAATTGCAACAGAGAATCACACGTTTGTCTCGCTTTGCTCCTGAAAAGCAGCCAGGTTCCTGTTAACGCGAGAAAGCTAATTTTCACCTTTACACCTTCTTTCCTCTTTAATCGTGTTTCCGTGCTGAAACCCACTTCTCACTTTACACGAGTTTCTCTGGAAAACATCCGCTGTGATCCTGAGATCTCGGAGGAAGTTCTGATCGGCTGTTTCTACCCGGTCCGCTTTAACTGCCTCGCTCTCAGAATAAAACATCAGACTCCTAATCAGCGCCGCACCCTGAGATTTTTGTAATTACGCCTTTCTCACGCCGATTGCACCTTTTGTTGTCACATTTCTGAGTTAGTGAAACCAGCTCTGAAGGATGCTTGTGCAGCTTCTCTTCACGGCTGAAACGGGTTTACCAAACATCTGGAGGCTGAGACGATCCCACACGGGAAGCAGAAACACCGTTGGGGTTCTTCATCTCCAACACATGAGAGGTTTGATGGAGCAGATTCTGGCGTGGTTTCATGGTTTAAAGGGACATTACGGAAGTTTGACAGCCAAAACATGTATAGAAATAATAAATGTCTTCTTCATACATTCTCCTGCAATGCCCTGGTCCTGTAGAATGAGCCCTGGCATTTTTACTGTGATTGCCGGTTTTTCTGTAAAATCACAGAAAAAGAGAGATGCTCGGGTCGAGCAGGCTGCTTCATGCGCGTTCACGCTCAGGCATAGCCCGTAGCATTTGCTATCCGTAGCTTTAGCAGCAGAGAGAGAGAGGCAGTGCCACTTTGTTGCTGTTCCTAACGCCTAGTGACAAAGCTAGCTACATTTCTGAGGACCTTTAGCTACTTTCTGTAGAACTTTCTTCTAGATATTTCCTGCTAATTAGCAACAAAATAGCCATTTTCACTTTGAACCATTCTTTGGTTTGATGTTGTTTCAGCTGTCATCAAGGATATAAATGTTACAGATACTGTGAATGTTACTGGTGTGTAGCTCACCTTGTAAAATGGCTGACTCTCATGCAGAAGACCTGAGTTCGATTCTGGGTGTGAACATAGTTTATTTAGAGTTTCTTTTTTACATTAATGGTATTTTTTTTACAATAAGATGCCCAAATTTTTATTTGAGACTCGCCGAACGACATTGAATTCACAGATAAAAAAGATGTGGGTTCAACTTTCATTTTGGAACAATTTTTCAAGCAAGGGAAGGGAATGATCTGAGCATGCAGGAGGACTGACCCATCATAAACCTTTGTCAGCTGTGCTGAAGAGAAAGGTACAGAACCAAATTATTTAATTAATTAGCTGAGTGTTCTCCTGTCCTCTGTCCTCCGGGCCACACACACACACACACACACACACACACACACACAGAACTGTCTCAGCTGTTATTTTCGTTAAGGAGTGTGCACGTACTGCATGTGCGCCTCGTGCACGAGCCTACTATTGAAGCTGCCGTTACGCTTTTGGCCTGAGGGGGGCGATCGCGAGCATAAAAATTCAAAAGTCCGAAAAGTCCCTTTAATGGTATGTATTAGATATGAAGTGTTGGTTGCTGTTTGTTTACATGCTAAACAGCTGATATCTGAGCTGGTTGTGAAAACCGCTCCCGCACTCATCGTGCTGCAGAACTAACGGATACGCCCTCTGAACCCGTCATCGTGTTTCGTTCCAGACCTGCTGGCGGTGCCCAAGCATCCGTACGCCGCCATGGAGAACTGGGGGCTCAGCGTCTTTGTGGAGCAGAAGATCTTGCTGGACTCTGAGGTGTCGTCGTCGTCCTACAAGATGGAGCTCACCATGGTGGTGGTCCACGAGATCTGTCACCAGGTAGGACAGCAATGGCTTTGAATGAATACCTTCAGAAATAAAGTCACTTTTTGCAGCAGAAGCAATTTTCTGATTCAGTTCGGAGTTTAAGGAGCCTGCAGACGCTGACCGACTTCAGCAGGTGGTTGAGTTGGGCCGTATGACACCAAAAAACTTTTATCCCACTAGAATCAATAAGGAGCCTGAGGCCCCTCCCCCTCCAGTTGGCTCATGGGTCTATGAATATATAAAAGGTATTTTCTGGTCCGCTTCGCCTTGCAGCTCCTCTAAAGCTGAGACCATGGTCTGGAGTCGGAAAAGGGTATAATGCCTTCCCTGGGGTCTGGGATGAAGTCCTGCCCCTTTAAGTATCTCGGGGGCCTTGCTCACGAGTGAGGGAAAACTGGAGCGTGAGATCTACAGACGGATTGGTGCTGCGGCTGCAGTGATGCGGGCGTTGTACCGGTCTGCCGTGGTGAAGAGGGAACTGCTGCTCCTCCACATCGAGAGGAGCCAGTTGAGGTGGCTCGGGCATCTGGTCAGGATGCCTCCTGGACGCCTCCCTGGTGAGATTTTCCAGGCACGTCCAACCGGGAGGAGACCTAAAGGTAGACCCAGGACACGGTGGAGGGACTATGTCTCTCACCTGGCCAGGGAACAACTTGGGGTTCCCCCGGAGGAGCTGGCCCAAGTGGCTGAGGAGAGGGAAGTCTGGGCTGCTCGACTTAGGCTACTGCCCCCCCCGACCCGACTCCGTATAAGTGGGTGATGGTGGATGGATGGATGTCACATCTATGACATCACAGCAGAATCTCTTGACATCTAGTGGCTTTCTCCACATTTAATGATCCTTCTGTTGTCCTGGAAGGAGGATGTGCAGTTCACTAAAGTCAGACACTTTCTTCTCCCTGTCTGGTTTGACGACGTAAATCTGGTGAGAGGGTTGGGAGTCCTCGACGAGTTTTCCCACAAAAGCTAAAGTAACTTTTGCAGACTGTTGAAAATCAGCGCCTCTTTAAAATTCACGGACATCATATGTGAAATCCATGAAAACATATGAAACGGAATAGACACCCATTCATCCTTTGACAGCTAGCGACCCGTGGTCCAGAGGTAGATGGGTGTGGCTTAGGCTGGTCGCATCACAGTAGGATAAATGGTTAAATCCTGTCTCGGCACAAACTAGTAAAACTCCTCCTTGATCGATCAATCTCACGGAGAAACAAAAGAACAAGCAGCGCTGCTGCGAGAGTAGCGAAGAGCTGCTGTCAGAGTGCTCGGACCTGGGATTAAAAATGAGCTGAATAAATGCATCTAGATGAAAGTGTTGAGTTGAGTCCAGATGTCTGTGATTTTGCTCAGATGAGACAAAGAAAAAGAGAAGAAATCCAGACGCAGAATGAGATGAGTCACATTTATGTATTCATCTGTCTGATTAGACAATGAGAACCTCCATGGGACCAGAACCGCTGACGCGTGAGCAGCTGTTCTGGTCCGGGTTTGGGTTGCAGGTGGAGCTGTAAACCCATCCCTCTGATTGGTCCGTGGTCTTGCAGCTCTGTGTTCGTCACGCTCTTGGTTTCTGACAACGATCTGTCACAGTGAAGCTAAACGCAGGTAAGAGTCGCTGTGGAGCGCCTCGTTTGCATCTCGCCACATCAGACGGTCACAGCCGGCCGGCGGACCCAGGCCGTCCTGTAATTGGACAAACCTTTCCTTAGATTGTCCCTCTGAGGAAAATCGCTGCAAAATGTCACAACAGTGTGTGTGTGTGTGTGTGTGTGTGTGTGTGTGTGTGTGTGTGTGTGTGTGTGTGTGTGTGTGTGTGTGATGATGATGAAGGCGGAGCTGGGACTAAATAAAGAACCTTTACCCGTGGACGAGTCACAGGAGACTCGTGATGACACGCTGGACTTTACCTCCACCTGATCTGGATTAAACATGCCATTCCCAGCAATTTATTCCTTAAAATTCCCAGAACATCCAGTCAGTGGTGGTCTGACCGGTTGTGACTGGTTTGACCTGCTGGAGAGTCGCATCATTGCGGGTCAGGATGAAGACGTCACTTGGGGGGGGGGGTGATTGAGGTGGAGGAGGTGATGCTTTCCTCCAACCCTCTTGTCCTTCTCCAATCAGTCTGAGTGTCTGGTTGGTTTTCTGTTGAAGAGACGCTGAGATGTGCGTTAGCGAGGTCCCGGTGTCTCCAGACTCGGTGAAGACGTGTCCTCTCAGGTGAGAGGAGCTTCTCTCTGATTAATGACTCCATGACTCGCTCAAACACAGAGTCTGAAGTGTTCGTCAGTCAGTCTGAAGGGTTTGAAAGACCAGAGACCTCTCCTCACATCCGATGGCTCTCGTCTCGAGACCTCGGTTTGTCTGCTGTGGTTCAAAGACAAAGACCTGCGAATGAGAGCGAGTGGAGAAACGTTCAGGTGTTGGTGAAGCACATCGGCGACCATGGAGGGTCGGTTTTCCTGCTCAAGGGCACATTGACTTCCACTAAGCTGAACAGTCATCTGGAAATCTTAGGTGTGTTCTTGCTGTGTCTTTGTAAATCCATGCTTTCGTTCTTTTTTAAACACAGAAACAGTTTTGTTTACCTGTTTGTAGCTACGGTTTCGCCGACAGCTGCCGGCTTCTTCAGGCTGACGCTGATGGTGGCGCGTCACTTCCTTCTCCGTTTATCTGCGGGCAGCAGAGGACGTTGTCGCCCTCTACTGCGAGAAAGAGGCAAATCGTAAACACACAAGAGCAGCAAAAGAAGAAGCAGAAAGTACAATAAAAAAGTCAGCCGTAACAGATCATTGCTTAAGAGAAAACCATATAATGGACTGGGACAGCACACGGATCATAACCACTGAACAACAAAAATACAAAAGATGGATCAAGGAAGCTATAGAGATAAGGAGACGTGGATGTGGGACCATGAACAGGGACGACGGAGTTTACACGCTGGACCACGTATGGGACTGCATCGTCGGAGAGGGGAGAGCGGGCAGTAGAGGGCGACAACGTCCTCTGCTGCCCGCAGATAAACGGAGAAGGAAGTGACGCGCCACCATCAGCGTCAGCCTGAAGAAGCCGGCAGCTGTCGGCGAAACCGTAGCTACAAAACAGGTAAACAAAACTGTATCTGTGTTTAAAAAAGAACGAAAGCATGGAGTCATCTGGAAAGCTGCAGCAGGAGTGAACAGCTCCAGTTATTCATGGAGATGCAAGAGTGAGCACATCCCTGTTGCTGAAGCACGTTTAGCCCCTCGGATCCCTTCCCATGTGACTGAAATCTGTTTTTATGTTTCAGCCCGTTAGCTGAAGGACTGGACTTGTACGTAAACGTGTGGAATATTCACGCCGTGACATTTTACACAAAGCAAAATACAAAAGACATGAAAACACAAAAGGTGTTTAAAGGCTGACTGAGCTGACATCAAACCAGCATCCACTGGTTTCCAGTCAAACACACACCTAAACACAACCATGGTGTGATGCAGACAGGGAGGAGATGTGTGGTAAAACCTTCAATTCAATCTAAACGAGCTTTTTATGCACACGGAAGCGATTTGGAGACACCTCCACGCAAGGGCGTCAGTTTGTTTTCAGAATTGCTGGGGACAATAACCATACACTTGAGTGGGGTTTAAAAATTGCTGGGGACAATAAAGTAGGCTAGCACAGGGGTCGGCGGCTCTGTAGCCGCATGCGGCTCTTCCATCCATCTGATGCGGCTCTCTGTGCTTATAAAATAATGAATGAATATTTAAATAAAAAGCTTTATATTTTACTGCATTAATTTTACATCTGTATGCTAATTCCAAGTGTAAAGATTGTCTGCGTAAACCTGAACAGGTCAACCCGGTCTTACTGTGAGACCGGGTTGACGCGTCACGCTTGTGCGTAATCATATGCGCTTCCTGAGCTGGAGGATGTCAGATTCTGGGATTCTCCTCAGACAGGTTCCTGGATGCGTCGCCACATTGGAGACAGGAACAAGCACTATTCAGCCAAAGTTTCATAATCAGGGAACATTTTCTAAGTGGCAAGTCTCTCTGAGAGACCGGGTTTGGAAAACTCTCGCTTCAGTGGGAGGAACCTTCCCGCATGCGCTCTGGTTCTGAGAGCCTGGATTTGTATTCTGAACAGTCTAAGCATGTTTTTAAAAGAAACGTATGACAAAAGTGGCACCTGCTCAGTAAAACCACCAACAGGGTGAAAAATATCAAAATATTGTATAGGCAGAGACGGGCTACAACTTCTGGATCATCTTTATATAAATCGTTTTATGATTATCTTCTTATGAAAGATAACTTTGACGTACACGAGCGACCAGGCGCGTTGCAAGATTTTCAAAAGTGTGGGAGATGTTGTCTGTGCCTAAAATAATTTGATGTTATTCACCTTGTTAGTTTAATTTCCATAACAGCGGAGCAGGTGCGAATTTTAGACGCGTCACGCATGTCTCCGTTTTAAACATGTTTAAACTGTTCAGAATACAAATCCAGGCTCTGTCTCGTTAGATTGGTGTAACTAAAGTTTGTACTGAATGAAACTTAACATTAAACCATGTTGAAAAGAAAAGGATCCGATTAAATCGTTTCCCCTCATTTTACAGTCGGTACAGCGCATTGCGCGTGGCTCTGGGGTTAATCAAGTTTAGTTGTTTCTCTTTGCAACAATCTTCACAAGAAGGCAAAACAGTTAAATGGCAGCTTACAGATATTTCCATTTGACTGTATTTTGATGGATAAACTCAAGGATGCTGGCTGTTTTGAAAGAATTACCCCGACGCACACTGATGCGCATGATGAGCTTGGAAAAATGTTCTTTTTATGAAATTATTAAACTTTGGCTGAACAGCGCTTGTTCCCGTCTCTAATATGGAGACGCATGACGCATCCAGTCTGAGGCAGAACAGCCTCTTCTGCTCAGAGAGCACCTGTAGAGACATTTGATCACGCACAAAGTTTATGTGGAGCAGAAGCGGTCGGGCCACGGCAGGTGAAACGTTCCTAGCCTACATGAAG